AAACTGAGATATAACTATTCGACGGGTTGGTAAATTTGATCTAGTGAAGAGTAATAACCAGTTTATAATCAAAATTGATATACAATGATAAAAAGAAACTGAATACTAATTGATACTTTTGCCTAAGTGTTTTTCTTTTCCAATGTTAGAACTATAATACAACATCCAAGCCTTAGTCCCAAATGAAATTGGGGTCGGCTAACATGAATCGATACATGATATCACCAAAAGGAAAAGAAAGAAAATAAAGATACAAAAGATAAGCTATTATAAAAAGGATATAAAAGAGATGAATATACATATAAAAGATAAAATAAAAAGGATAAAATAATATTTATATATAAGGATAAAAGAATAAAAAAATAAGGAAAAAAAGGAGGGGAAAAGATGATACAAAATCACTCCACCACACGAATACCCGCCCTCCACTTTGTTAAAACTATAATACTCCTATAATATTTATTAGTCTTTGCTATACTAATAATCACTGATGCTTATGCAAATTAATTCAAAGTTTGGAGGAGCTGTTGGAAAATTTTCTCTCCTGCTATCAGAATTGATTTTATACTTGGATATGCACTAATTTAAAATTTTCAAACATAAATCTAAGTATTGCAACCTGCAATTAAAAGTTCAGTTTTGATATTGGTCTAGATTATCAATACAATGCCCACCCATCCATGCTGTTATGGAGACTTTTCGTGGAACTACCAGTCTTTCTACTCCATCTCCTTGTCTGTCTAGTATTTTCTCACATATAGATCTTTGTAAATTCTTTTGAGATATCTGTCATAGTATGTACTCCGTAGTATTTTATTCCATTGCATTTGGAGGTTGAAGTAAGTCATGATTATTTTTTTTAGCAAAACTGCACCCTTTATTGCTTTTTCTCTCGAAAATGCTTACTTCCGCAACAACAACATTACCCCAGTGCCACAGAGACTGTTTCCGGATTACCCATAATGAAAATTGATTCGAAATTGCATGAACTAATAGCTGCTTCATAACAAAGAAGCGCAAACAGTGAGTCATTTTGCTTTATTCCATCATATTGCCAAGCCAAAAAATAGTGAGTCTTTGGCTCCATTGGAAATGATGGAGTTAAGCCCTTCCGCATTGAAAAAATATTTTAATACAAATAAACATACAGAGTATAAGGCGTTGGACTACATCTCTTTTCAGAATGACCTTTTAGCATAAAAATAATGTCAACACTTAAGCTTTGCGGTTTCTACTTTTATTTCAGAGAACGAAACACTGAACTTATCAGGGAAGCGATACACGTTCGCTATATGTATCTCCCTTATTTCTACACACTTTTTAGAGAGGCAAACACTAGTGGCATTCCAGTTGCACGTCCCCTCTGGATGGAGTTCCCTGGTGATGAAAAAACTTTCACCAGTGATGATGCAATGATGATCGGAAGTAGCCTTCTTGTCCAAGGAATTTTCACCGAGGTTATCTTTTATTAATAGACAATATTATATTTTCACTTTGTTGATGATGTATTAAAATACTCTGTCCCACTCTCTCTATATCATTTATGTACCACTCATTCTGATTGGTCGAAGTCTTCTAATACTCCCTCCGTCCCTAATAACTTTGCCAAGTCTGACCGGCACGGCGATTAATAAAGTAAAAAATGTGTGGTTGAGGTTTGTACAGAGGAGAGAGAATTAATTGGAACCACAAATTCTTTACTTAAAAGAGAAAGTGGCAAAGTTAATGGGACATCCAAAAAAGGAAAGTTGACAAAGTTATAAGGGACGGATGAAGTAGTTAATATAGCAAAAAGTATACATTGATTAATATGATTCACCCGATCAGAGTGAGCGCCACACTAATGTGATTGAAAAGATGCAATAGAGTTTCAATTCATATGTTTCTCTGTAAATAAAACAATCAAATGCTTTACAACAGAAAGCCAAGCATATATCAGTGTATCTTCCTGGGGATGAGTCATGGTATGAAATTCGAAGCGGAACTGCATATAAAGGGGGGCTAACCCACAATCTTGAGGCTCTTGAAGAGACTATACCAGCTTTCCAAAGGGCTGGAACCATCATACCTAGGAAAGATCGCTTTCGTAGAAGTTCCACGCAGATGGAGAATGACCCTTATACCCTGGTAACGCTCTTGAACAAAATGCAGTAACTAATATCACACCACTATATTTGATATTTTGATCCAATGCTTGTACTAATTTTATTCTGCACTATAGTACTGCAACCACTCTTATTGATGGGTTTGCTGAAATTTGATTCTTCCATCTCTCTTGGTGATCTAAGCATCACATCACTTAATCTGAGTGATTCATGGAATTGTCATGGAGCTGGATTAATGAAGTGTAGAAATAACTTTTAAAACAAGCATAAAGGTTTAATGCATTTATTGTTCTATGGTGGACCCTATAAAATATGACGATGATAAAATAGATGATCATGATAATGCAGCAAAAAGGTCAGGACATAGCCCTTGAGGAGATTTACAATAGGATAAAGGGCAGTCCAGAGCACATTGGCATCCCCGCAAGGCGAGGGTATGGAAGGGTCCCACCGCAAGGTTGTATAAGGAGCAAGTCTTCCATTGTCAAGATGTTTTGACTTGGACTGTAATCTGTCCCAGACCAGACGAGATCAGACCAGATCAGACCAGAGCAGACTTGGCTAGTTATAAAAATACAAAGAAACCATACCAGACCAGCAAATTGTAGTCCAAGTAAAAACATCCTCATTAGATTTATAATAGATAATGATGAGAAAATGGTTGCTTCAAAGTTAAAGCAAGGTTGCAACAAACAATATCGTAAGAATATTAGAACAGAGATGCCTTTTGGTCCTATTTAGATTCATGTCTTTTCGGTAAAAACATACTCAAAAGTGATCGGAAAGTAAAAATACTTGGGTGTAGTTTGGTAATATGTGATGAAATTTATTGCGATAAAATAAAAAACATGCGTAATGTAAAGTTCATACTAAAAATGTACTCTGTATTTGATTATGCATTAGAGCTTACCAAACACTACCTTCAAACATTCTGTTTTGTCATAGCTGAGAAGTAATTACTTGGCGGAAATCTTTGGTGCAGGTTATTGCTCTTAATAGTTCCCAGGCTGCTGAAGGAGAGATCTACATTGATGATGGGAGGAGCTTTGATTTCCAAGAAGGGGCCTACATCCATCGTCGGTTCGTTTACTCCAGAGGCACTCTCACATCTCTGGATCTGTCTCCATCCTCCGTCAGTAAAAAGTTTTCATCAGACTGCACGGTGGAGAGGATAATTTTGTTAGGATTATCTGCTGGTCCAAAAACTGCCCTTGTTGAGCCTGGGGATAAGAAACTACAAGTTGAAAGTGGACCACTTCTTCTCCGTGCTGGCCCACCATCATCTGTCGTCACTGTCCGCAAGCCCAATGTCAGAGTAGCTGATGATTGGTCGATTAAAATCTTGTAAGCTATAGAATACACTGAGTTCTTAGTGGTGTCGTGGTGAATGTATGGATGAAGGGCAATTAGGTCGGTTGACACTTGACACTCTTGTTTGCCTCATCTTTCTTTCATCATGCAGCTGCTGGATTATTACAGTAATTCCCACAGATGATTATTACACTGATTTTTTACACTTGGTCGAGAAGTTGTGGGTGATGATGATAGAAATGCAGAGATTGAGTAATGCTTCTTCATAATATGATGTTCTTTTTGTTTTGTTTTGCTTTGCTTTGAGATTTAAATCTTTTTCTGGTGAGTTTCACAAAAAAATATGATACCGGGGCATCTTTGGTGTCTCTTTTTGTTTACTGAAATGACCGGTTGAACAATTTTTTTTTTATAGAATACTTAACCTAACTTAATATTATCATTGAAAGGGTCATTATTGATTGTTTACTTAAAGGATGATTTGTTAACAAATTGATAAATTTCTTTTATAAACGTTTAAAATACTTCTATAAGCTGATCTGGAAATGACTTCTCAGAAGATATCCATCTTTTACATGGAGATGATGGAGGAACTAGATCCATATGGATACTAATGTTACTTTGTTAGAATGAATTTGAACAATGTTACTTTGTTAGTGAACACTTGTTTATTAAAAATAAAATGGCCATATCAGTTTGAACTAACTTGTTAAGGTTCAAGGTCTGATTCTCATTATCTTTTGGCCTATATGAAAGAAAAGGAGTGAAGCTAAGTTTAACGATTGCTTAAAAATGGCGATAACCCATGCTGATAGATACTTCGTTTATTGCTTTTTTACGATCACAAGGGAAATGGAGCTATGAGTCCTTATCACTTATCAAATTAGTTCATCCACGGTACGTTTGGATCATAAAAAGTGCTAGAGAAACAGGAAAACGCCAAGGAAAGTAATTATACTTATTATAATTGTAATAATGTCATAAGAGTAAACATATCAAAAATGGAAAGAGAGAGAAAAAGGGAGAGAATGGAAAAGGTAGCAATTAACTAAAATTGCTAGTTGAGTGTTTCATAAATTTGTTCATCAAGTGTTTAAGTACGAAAACAAAGAGCTCGTTTGGTAGCATGAAAATCGGCTGTTTTGGCTGATTCTGCTGAAATTTATGAAGTTCTGGGCTTCTGGCTGAAGTGGCTGCATTGGTTGATTCTGCTGATTTAAGAAAAAATTATTTTTAAAATATATTTTGTTAATAAAATAAAGAAAAAAGTATATGTAAAAATAGCTAAAATGGTCATCTACAGTAATTTCAGCCAATACAGTCAGAAAAGTAACTCCAACCTTACTTTTTCTGCTTATTACACAATTCAGCACGCGAAAGAAAAAATTTCGTGTTTGGTGAAAAAGTTTGCTGATAAGCCTGATAAGCTGAAAAACAGTGTTGTCAAACGGTCTCACAATCTTTGTTGTAGATCAAATGAAAAACCTGTAGACAATTTTCATTTACACGTGTTACTCATTACAGGAACACATAATAAGTATTTAGAATATTTCTTTAAATTTAACTTATTTTTATTTTCTCTCTCACATTTCTAATTTTTAAAATTCTCGAAGCCCTGCTTTTTAACGGAGCCGAGAGTTTCTCTCCAAATCTTCGTGACTTCCTAGGGTGCGGCCGCTAGGTCTTTTCTTCCGATTTCGTTCCATCGAAGATCGGTCTTCAGGGAAGGAAAGGAATCGCCAGTGGCTGACAGAGCAGGCGAGGCAGTTTCGGTTCAGGCGGACGCCATAGCAGGGTGCTTCGATCAAGTAGTTTTTTTTATGGAGGATATCGTTATTTCGTACAAAAGAATGGCAATCGAAGAGAAGCAGAACGAGCTCAACTTTGATGAGGAGACGGCAGAGGAAGGAGAAGAGGAGGCCGAGGCACAGACCTTCCCGGTGGTTGGAGCTGTAGTCACCGATCGGAAAATCAAGCTGTCGGGGAATCATGGTGTAACTTTTTATTTTATCCTCACCTCTATTTCATTATAAACCATCTGAAACAAATAACGAAAACAAAAATCTACTTTATAGAAGTTGTTTTCAGAATATTTTCTTTAATTTTATTCATATATATCTCCATCCGAATTGGATCATTGCAACTCAACTCAAGTTGATGATGTAAACACATTGTTTTCCATAGATAAAACTTAAGAAACTATTACGAATTCCGGATTATTGGGTATGAGTGAATAGGAATGACTAATGACATATTCAGATTTGATTCGGATCGTCTTTTGCCATACGCACTTTCTCCCCTTTTCAAAGTTGTGTAGATTGCGGCCTCCTAGCTAGGGCAACCGCTTCTAGGCTTTTTTTTTTTCCGAATTCCATCATATTGATCGAAGTTTGGCTGTTCTTGTTCGCATATCTGGCCGCGGAGCAGTGGTCTGCTTTTGGCTAAGGTAGAGCGATCACGAGTTTTTCTCTCTAGGGCTTTGACTATGTCGGCCGCTGGAGCCTTTTTCCGATTTCGACTTTATCGAAGATCGGCTTTGTTATCCCTTGGTCACTGGTGCTCGACTGGAGTCCAGGTCAGACGCGGAGGGCGGAGATCGGTGGAGGAGGGCAGATTTGTTGTCATGGCTCGAGGAGATCGGCGATGTGGTCAAGGTTCGAGGATGCGGCGTTGCTGTCGTCGTTGGAGAAGATCGGCGCCGCCTGTCCGCTTTCTCTGGTCGCACGGAGCAGGGATGAGTTCGGTTATGCAGGGACGGAGGATTGATGCATGGTCTTTGGCAGCCAAAGGTCATGGAGGATCAATTAGCATGGTACCAGTAGTAAGACCTTCTCCTGAACCACCACCATGGGATGCACGAGGTGCTAGAGTTCGTGAACGTTTTTCTTGAAGTTTTTATCTGTTTGTTATTTGTTTTATTGCGTCCATTTTTGTTGTTGGGTTTGACATTTTGTTTGAGTTTTTTGCCTCTCTTTATGTCATTGGGTATGGTTGGATCTATGGGAATAGTTTTGGCTGTGTCAAGCCCACTACATGGTTAGCGATTCGTGTTGCTCTCTCAGGGGTGACCGTCTCAAAGTCTCACCATAGGGTTACAGTCGTAGTTGTTGGAGTTTCAGTTGGTGTCTGTTTTATTTTCCCTTTGCTTGATGTAATGATCATGATGAATCTTTTGATAGAATAGAGGCATGTTTCTGTTGATAAAAAAAACTTAAGAAACTAACGCCAGACATTTTAAAGTAATACTGTTTGAAAAATTAATCTCCAAGCTTCAATTTTTATGCCTTGATATATATTCCTACAATGAATTTTAACTCTCATTCACTATCATATTTATTATTTACTGTCCTCTAAATATTGCATTTTTATCACGTTTGCATTGCATTTTTTTTTCAGGAGAATTTTAGTGAAGTTTAAATATGTACGTATAAGTTAGAAAGAACTTTCCAAAAAAATAGCCTTAATATTTTGAAATGGAGCGAGTGTGTAGTCATAAATATTAACAATACAACTATGGATGTTTTCTTTTGGACTGAAATTTGCTGGTCTGGTCTGTTTAAGTCTGGTCAGGTTTGGTCGGGTCTGGACTGGTCTGGTCTGGTCTGGTAAACGTCTGGTCTCTGTGTATTTTATAACTACGGAAGTTTGGTCTGGTCTGGGACCGAAAATAGTCCAAAAGAAAACATCCTATATCTTTATCTTTATATATAAAGATAGTATGGTGGAGATCTAAATAGAAAATTATTTTCTTCCATATACAAGTCTTAAGTTGTACTAAATGAGAAATTAATACATGACTCATTAAGTGTTGGACCTTTTTTTTATAGATAAATATAAATATGATATGCTAATAAGAGTATCGAAATATATATGATAAGTCTCATGTGATCATGATTATTAAACGATTTCTGAATACAGAAGATTATCATTTTTATTGTAATCAAGATGCATTTCACAATAAATACACCACTAGATATGATAAGTTTCACAGGCTCGAATATTAATGATGTTTATATGGATAGTGAATATTAAGGGCCGTTTGGTAATGGTTGCAATGGCTGATAAGACTGAAAAGACTAAAATCCTGAAGTGAAAGTGTTTGGTAATATATTGGCTGAATTGGCTGATTGAATGTATAATTACCATAAAGGGTATTATCTTTTTACACTAAAATACTACACTTTAAATAGCAACAATACATATCAAAACATCAACACAGAAGCTCCAATCACGTAATAACTCAATATAATGGTAAAAGCACTATGGTGGATTTCATATTTCCTAGAGAACTTTTTTTTTCATACCCTGAAGGCCAGAACGGCACAACCAATATAGAACAGAGAAGTCCGCAGAGCATGACTTCTACGATTAGGAAAAAAAGACTGGTTATAGTTGTCTTTTAACATGTTAATCAAACAAAAATAGAAAACAGCTCAAAAAGTACCCATGAAGCAACTTTTTTGGCCGATAATAAGAATCAGCCAAAGCAGCCCATAGAAGAGGTGTTTGGCTATTTTCATGGATTTTAAGCCTGATCAGCCTTTTTTTGCTCTTCCAAACGCCCTCTAAGTTCTATACCAAATGATGGACAGTCTACCCGGGGGGTATCTTATCCGATGGGTTATTGCGGGAATAACTAGAGAGAAGTCAGAGCAAAATAGGAGGAGAGAGAGTCAATCTTATTAAATGAACTCGAGATGTGAGATCTGGGATCGTTTACAAGTAGAAATGGACTGCTATTTATAGCAGCAATAAATGCGATGAGAGCACACGTGTCAACAATCCAACGGCCGAGGGATCACATCAATCGGGTGGCACCAGCAGCGGTACGTTCACCGCATTGAATGCGGTTGGCGGATGTGCCGTTGCATTAAATGCGGTGGTTGGCTGTCTCCAAAAGGAATCTTCGATGATTGAGCATGTTTGGCCGAAGGCTCCTTGTGTAGCCGAAGGCCCTGTGTGACCGAGGGCTTGATGATGCCGAAGGCTCCTGTTTTCCGCCGTTTTCTCCCAGTAGCCTCGTATGCCCAAAAAGGCTATCCTGTGAGTTTTGGAGCCTTCGGCCAAGGAGGCCGAAGGCACCCCAGTGTGTATTCTGGGCTTCTTTGTGGCTTGGGCCGTTGCATTTGGCCTGAGATGTTCCCTGGGCTCAATGGACTTGTGTAGGAGAAGTAGGGGTCTATGGGCCAGGGATTCCTGGGCCATATACTCCATCATGACCATTGGCGACATATCTCAATACTGCATTTATGATGATTTTAAACGCTAAGGAGTACATCAAACCATGATAAATAAATAAAAAACATGGTAAATATGATGTATTGTAATTAAATCATGAGTAGAATAGTAATCATAATTATCGTAGGTAATGTCAAATTTTAAATTCATTTTTTAAAACTCGGTAGGTAAACCACCATCATGAGTGGAGTAAAAGTTGAGGTACATCTATCAAGATTTTATAAAAATATAAGAGGTACAAATTACCGTAGATAATGTCAAATTTAAAATAAAATTTTTAAAACTTGATACGCAGACCGCCGTCCGTGGAGTAAAAGTTAAGGTACATCTATCAAGATTTTATAATTATAAAAATATAAGAGGTACGGGGGTAATGGGGGGCATAGACCAAACCTTCTCCCAAGCTGGCATTCCTTCCCTAAATACGTGAAAAATTGATATATACTAGTACTAATTATAATGATCTTTAAACGAAGTCTGAAGGATCGGATCTGATATATACATTCATATTTAATTTAATGCTACATCTATTCATTCAACTATATATATTTGGGTAACATCATTAAATTACACATATTATAAGAAATTTGTAGATATGAGATTGATTGTATTTTGAACGTAAATATAAGTTTGAAAAAACTATTAATGTCTCCCAATATAATACGAGATAAACTTCGTGAGCTGGGTAAAAGAGAGCGTAAAGACCAAACCTTCTCCCAAGGTGGCATTCCTTCGGTGGCGGAACTAGAAAAAGTTGTAAGCGGGCTATCACACACGTAAACCATCAAATTAATACTCCATAATAACATTGTCTTAGCAAACCACATCAATCCGGTAAAAAAAACAAGCCACACCAATCTAAAAATAATTAATTCAACCTATTATAAATTCATAATTTCATACCCATAATAAATAATCATTAGATTTATTTCAAACTTTTTTACACAACATATTTTTCAAAGGAAAATTTCACATCAATAATCCTACCTTTGAACGGCCCGGGATTTATTTTTTTCCCCTAGCACTGAAGCGACGTCGTTTGATTTAAAGAAACAATCAGGCTCGAGGTACACATTTTTGTACACACAGTTACACACTCGTGTCTGTGAAGTGTTTTGTTTTGTCTGTATACAGACACAACTTATTTCACAGACACTTCAAATGCGTTGTGTCTGTATACAGACAAAAAAACACTTCACAGACACGCGTGTGTAAGTGTGTGTACAAAAAATGTGTAACAATAGTTTTTTCCTTTAAAGAAAAACCTAAGCCATCTTATACGTTTATACGATCATCTCTGTATCCTTCGAACTAACGTTGCAGGCCGGAAAATATGCCGGAAAACAGAGAGTAACAGTCCGGCAGCCCCCCAACTCTTCCTATACGCTATCTCGCAGGGATGAAGCAGAGGCACCGCCCCCCGTGCAGATCCGCCCTGATTTCCTTCCCTAAATACGTTAAATGGATATCTATCTATAGATAATATTCAAAGATACAATTATGGAAAGTTTTGTCATCATGTGTCATCTTCTAAGCAAATTTTGATCATGATGTTTTAGACCCCCTTTCTAATTTACTACGTAGTATATTAATATTAATTATATCATACGAAGTTACATGGTTTGGAATTTTAGTTAGTTTAGGATTATCAATTCATGACTTTCATGTTACGTTAGTTAAGGACTAGGCTATTATCTTGGAATTCTACATAATTCCTATATCCTAAAAATATTCTAAAAACTTTCTTAAGTTACAGTGGAATTATAGTGCGTAACTAATAAAGCATCCTACAAATTCTTCGTTGCATAAAGATAAAATTTTAGAAATAAAATTATGAATTATGGATATTTTGGTGTGTTCGAATAAAATTCGAGTTTTTTCCCGAAATAATGTTAATTAAATAAATAATTCCCAAAATACTGTTGGGTTAAAAATAATTCCCAAAATACTGCTGGGTTAACCGTGGTTAAGAAAAGCCGCCACTTGAAGTGGCGGCTCTTCTCTTACAGTACAAAAGCCGCCACTTCACGTGGCGGCTCTTCACTTACAGTACAAAAGCCGCCACTTGAAGTGGCGGCTCTTCTCTTACAGCACATTTTGTACATATATAAAACGCAGTATGTTTCAAGAATTTTTTTAACTATCTTCCCGATTGAATTTTGAGCTGAAATTTTGTATGAATAGACTAGACTTGATGAGGAACATGCTCAAAAACATTTCATCAAAAAATTCCACTAGGAAAACCCTCTGGTGGTGTTGTCTGCACGGGGGTTCCGGTCAGGACGTCGTGACAGGAATAGGACATTTTTATGAAATTTGAGGTGCTTCCGAGTTGATTTTGTTGATGACTATAATGATTTTCTAACAATAAATAAATGCCGGAACCGGCCCGGAACCGCTGCCTACCTGGGTCGGTTCTCCCTTCCCAAAAAAAAAGCTCGGCTGAGCCCAGGCCTGAACCGGAACCGGCCCGGCCCGGGTCCATCACTACTCCACCCTGACCCCATCCCCCAACCTAGCCCCAACCCATTCTGCCCCAGCCCCTTACCTACCCCCTACCCCTTTACCCCCTACTACCTTCCTCTAACTCGATCCCACCCGACCCCTACCCATCCTACCCTACTTACCCCACCTCCACCCCACCCCATACCTCTTCCCTACTCCGACCCCACTCTTTTACCCCACCATCCACCTGCCCCTACCTCGACCCCATCCCCCCACCTACCTTAACCCCCTAGCCCTTACCACCCCTAATCAAACCCCTTACCCTACCCCTTTACCCCATACCACATGCCCCTGCCTCGACCCCGACCCCACCCCTAACAGGTAGGGGTTACGAGGGGAATAGGGGCAGAGGATAAGGTCGTGGTTAGAGTAGGGGTAAGGAAGAGGTAGGGGTTAAGGTTGTGGCGGAAGGGTAGGGTGGGTAGGGGTTAGGGTACATCCACATATTATATTATGTACTTGTGTTCATGAATGTTTATGTGTCTATATATGTA